CTTTTTTTATTATCCCCCTATTATCCCTCTACTGAAATAATGAAAAATTATTAACCTAAATAGTTTAAATTACATTTCAGATACAAAGATTTAATTTCATTCCAAAGAAATTTTATTTTTTGTCATCTACTTTTACCATCTTTTGAGTATGATTCTCTGGAAAAAGAGAGGTTTTACTCAACACTATTGAAATAAAGAATAAGAAAAAGAAGGAAAAAAAAACATATCTGATATAAACAATAATAAAAACAAGTATATTCTGAGTGAAATCTGAAAATCATCTGCAAATAATGGAAATGTTTAAGTTTTTTCCGCTCTTTCTCTGTTTACTGAATTTATGCTTTTTTAAAGTTGACTTTATTATTTAAAGCCAAATAATAAAGCTTAAGGACCCCTTTATTCCCTGTCTTATAAAACTAAAACACTGACTGTGCCTCGCATTGAAAGTCAGTGCCTAATGGGATCCCTCTATATGCTTCTACTCTTGACGCTTGGTGAACTGGTACTGAACTGGTGCTTCTCTTCCACCTTCACTGGTAAGCAGTCTGTCTCTTCTCTCCTCTCACCTCCTGAGCCAGTGACCGTCCCGTGAACCCGCTGGTGACCCCCAACTGACCGGCTCAACCCCATCCAGAACGCAGACCACCACATGGACACGAGCTGCACTGCGTTCTCACTCTTTGCTCTGTTTTTCCCTCCTATCTTTTATCCGATAAAGAGAGTTGTTGACAAGCCTCACAGTGACAAGATAAAAAAAACCTGGACAACAAATAAATCCAATCTTTGGTTCCTGTTTAGCTTTAAAAATCAACCACAATGCTTCTGAAGACTTGTATTGCGCAATAAGGCACTGGAAGGTTTATTACCTTGTTTATATTATTACATAATCACATTCGCTCATAGATACTTAGGTGCACATTAACACCATGTATTATAATAGATTTTAATCATAGAAGCTTTTTCTTTCTTTGAGCTTAAAGCTCACATTTAAAGCACAAATTAAATGAAACTTGTCTGATGTCATGTTTTCACTAAAATGTTCAGTCATTCCTTTAAAGCCAAGAAGAAGAAAAAGAAAAACATGAAATACACACCTTAAAATCCTTCACTTTAAAATTTAAAATATTATAATTGACATAGACACTTTTGTAGTATGTAGGTTGTATGATTATGTTGTTATTAAAGTGGTTTGGAACTTTTAAAAAACAATTTTTGTTGTCATCTATGTGTTTTAAAATGTGCTTTGGGTTTTATCAGCACATTATTTTATTTTTTCAAAGCATCATATTATATTGTATATATATATATATATATATATATATATATATATATATATATATATATATATATATATATATATATATATATAT